TTTTGTTACCATTGCCATGCATTATACGACTGATAGACTGCAACGGCTTGACTTAAAAATCATAATTTGTGTTCTACTGAAGAAACAAAGTCAGCTACATCTTGGATGCCCTGGGGGTAAGCAGATAAACATCAAATTTTCATTTTTGGGTGAACTATCCCTTTAAGTCACATCAGTCCATTGAATGTATGGTGAGTTTATGCTTAGAAATTGTGTGAATCATTGTGCTACACATCTTGCCTTGGAAACACAGAAGTAATCATTTTCATGACTGTGTACCAAGTCTCAGTAGTCACCTAGATGTGCTCCGGTTAACTTTGTGCTGTACCACTATGCTCTAATGTGGGAGTTGGCAGATAAGAACATGTTGGGCCTGAGTAAAATGCAGCATGCAGGGCTTTTCCTCAAGACAAATGATTAATGAAAACAACAAAACTAAATTTCAGCTTGGTCTAATGATCACACAAATCTGCGGAAAATTACCAATTATGAAATTAATGTAAACAAATATCCAAAGAATATTCATGTGCTAATCACTATTGATAAATGCATCTCACTCTCTCTAAAAGGTTCAATGAAAAAGAAAATATCAAGAGAGGATGTGTCTGTAAAAAAGAATTGTAAGAAGAGATTTTCATGCCAAATTAGATGTCTGTGGGATAGTGGTGTATTTAACTGTTGTTAGTCTTTTCTGCTGCACAGTCGTAGAATGATTATTGGTACCTTCAGGTGAACTGAGAGATAAGATAAAATAATAAATCTGTTAAATCCACTCCAGTTTGTAGAAGGAATATGATGTTGGTGAATAAATGCTTAATGGCTGTACCCTGTATCCATATAAATATAGAATTTACAAATTAACTATTTAATTAATCAATTAACTCTGATTGCTGACCACATGTACAAAGAGGGGAATTAAAAATTTGTCAGAAAAAGAAGGTCTTCAAAATTACATCTTGTGTTGTACAAAATGTTTCTTTTTTTTTTTTGTCTTTTTTTTTAATTTAAATTTTTGGCTTGATGTTTTTCCTTTTCATCTGCGTGTCCAGAGTAGCACCCAATCTCTTGTACATATATGCATTGATTCATTATATTTTCTTAAAGCTAGAAATATGTTACCCATTTTAGATAAAATATGAAAGTCTGAACATAATATCGCTGTTGCAAGCATAACCATGACTATCATCATAATTGTCATCAGCATTATTAAATAACAGTAGTAATATGTGTAACCCGTTACTTTCCCAGAGTTGTTGGTGTATGTAAAGCTGATCTTTTCTTCTTTTTATTGATTTTAAATTCTCATGGTTTTTAAATAGGTGTATGTTGAATATGTTCTCTTCTTGAAGTGTATTCCAGTCTTTTTCTATATTACAAAGAGCTGAACTAGCAGCATCCTGACTGAGTTTAGAGACACAGGCCTGAGGACAAGGAGAGAGGGATGGAGGAGAAGATAAAGGAGGGAGGATGCTGTCTCCTCACGGGAACCGCTGGACACCGAAACGAGGGTCTTTTGTATCCCGGATTTCAATCTAAAATAGACAATAAAAAGGGGGGGGGGGCACAAGTAATTATACAAAGAGCAGTACATACCTTAAAGATCAGAATTGACTATGATTTAAAGGGATAGTTCACCAAAAATTACAATTCTGTCATCATGTCACCTGTCACCTGATGTCATTCCAAGACTGTATGACTTTTCCGTGGACCATAAGGAAAAGGTCTGAAAAATGTCTCAGTGTTTCAGTGTCCACACAATGAAAGTCCATGGTCACAAAACGGTTTGGTTACCAACATTCTTCAAAATATCTTCTTTTGAGTTTTATGAAAGAAAGTCATACAGGTTAGAAATTTTATGAGAGTGAGTAAATGATGACAGAATTGTCATTTTTGGGTGAACTATCCCATTAATTACTTGAATTAATCATATTTTTGGATTTTTCAAGTCAGGCAAACCTACATATAAAATATAAGAGAATTCATCAAATTAATTTTGGGTGAACTTATACCTTATTAACGCTTGTTACTTACATGTAAGCATAATTCAACAAACATTACTTTGGTAAAGAACACAACCCAACATAATTCAAACCTCTGGAATTACAGCATAAAATTAGTTACCTAATAAGCAGCAACCAGTCAGTACTACACTCAGTAATCAATAGGCATTTCTGCTTTTCGCCATATTAATTTTTAGTTTTTCAGTTGTCTGGGGACATTCAAGCAAAGGAGGAATCAGGGGAGAGATGACAGGAGTAGTATAGCATATCCTGGATCAGCACATACTGACAAAGGAAGGGAAAGGTTTTATTCAGACAAATAACACATCCCCCTACCTCCTAACACACTTTGGTCCCTGTTTGGCGTCTGGATTTTGAAGAACATGTGAAAACCAACAATCAAACCATAACCAAAGAGAGACTCAATTGTTTTGAATAAACAATGCATCTATAGTTTATATACATATAATTTGTCTGTAAATGTGGTAAAATTACATGTATGTTACTTAAGAGCTATAAAGAATCCTACTTGTCTCATTAGAAATATTTGACCCTACATAATTTTTTGTTTTGTTTTGTTTTTTGCGAAAAGTGTTACTGCAGGTAGAAATAAATGTAGGTTCTAGCTGAACTGACCACTAGTGGCCACTAAAAGCACTGTGACTTCCAATTCCATTAAAGGCAGGGCATGTGATTTTTCAAAAACACTTTAGAAAACTGATTCGGGCCGAATAGCAAAACAAACTTGTAGCCAATCAGCAATAAGGGGCGTGTCTACTCGTGATGTGGAGGAGAGCGCGTTCAGTGCATGGGACGGACATTAGCCGAGCCGAGCGACAGTAAGATAGAGATGGTGGATAAAAAACAAAAGAGGAAAACGTCTGCGGAACGATAAGGCAAGAAGTAGGACCCGTGTAAATATCGGATCAGCTTTCCAGCGCTGGAGAGAACTCAAGGAGCGGAGGCCTGCGATCGGACGCCGAGGTTGCTTTGTTTCTTCTCAATAGGTGAGTAACACCGTGTCTACAACAGCTAAAGTCTGCCTACACTGGACGCGATCAAACGACCGTTGAAAACCATTTGAAATTTGTGTCAGCACGTCATAAATAGAACCCGGCAGCAGTTTTCTGTCGGGGATTTGTTGTGCCGCGCCGCTCACATCCATAGACATGGTGTAACATTGGTTTTGGTTTGTTTCACAGAACTAATCGTTGCCTGGGTTGCGTACGTATATGTGGGGCGGAGCTATCAAAATAGGGGCAAGACCCTTTTGGGGTAGGGGCGTGTTTGTTTTGGTGATTTCAAATATCAACATTGGCTACCAGAAATCGCTTACTCTGCCTTTAAGAAAAATGAAGATTAGAGGGAGAGATTTCAGTAGGAATAGCAGTTTATGGTGTTCATCTCATAAATCTGTCACAGATAACCCTTGGAAAATATAATGCACATTATATGAAAATGAGCAGCCTAAGGAGAAAATATTTTGTTGTAGATTACATTTTAGAGCTATATTTTTGTTGTAGCTCTAATGGTGGAGCATGGCACTATCAATGACTCCCAGGGAATATGCAAAATAATAGAATGATAGAATGAACCTTGAATGAATTGCAAGTGGCTTAAATGTATGGGAAATTTCTGTGAGGATTAAGTTTGGTTTTAAAATTAAGTTTAGATTTAGCGGTTTAAAATGCCCTTTGGTTATGTTGGTGAATTTAAAAGTCAATACTATAGAACCGTATTGACATTATAAGTTTTCTTGTTTCATATTATACATTATAAGTTTTCATCTATATCGGAGAAAATCCATTTGAGAGCCACAAAGTAAACATTTTAGCAAGAATGTGCAGTTATTTGTACATAGGGGAAGATGTTTCAAATGTAGCAAAAAATCTTTTTTTCCCCAGTACAGTCTTCAAATAATATTGCAGGGGTTCTCAACTCTGGCAATCGAGGTCCACTTTCATGCAGTTTAACTCCAACCTTGATCAAACTCACCTGCCTGTAACTTTCTGGTAATCCTGAGGGCCTTAACTAGCATGTTCAGGTGTGTTTGATTAGGGTTGGATCAAAACATTGCAGGGCCAGAGTTGAGAACCCCTGCAATATTGTTTAAAACAATATTACAAAATCTTTCAAACTCAACTAAAAACTTGGTTTGGTAATGATGGGGGTAAACAAGCATGTGGTGTGTACAGTTGGGATATTTGACCTACATAATGAAATTAATCTCCAATCACTGTTGATCTTTACTGGTTTTGGAAAAGCACTAAATTGTTCAACAAGCATGTGGTGTGTACAGTTGGGATATTTGACCTACATAATAAAATTAATCTCCAATCACTGTTGATCTTTACTGGTTTTGGAAAAGCACTAAATTGTTAAATAAAGGAGGATATGAAAGCATCAGGGTTTTGCCTTTCCAATCTCATTATGTGGGATGAGGTGAAAAACTTGCTTGGAAGTGCAAGAAGTCTCTCGTTTGAATCCTGGATCATATAAAGATTTTTTTCTTTAATAAGCCAAAATGGCTACTGAATGTCAGTGCATGTGTATGCATTACTGCTCTATAACAGGATTTGCTGCTGATGAATGTTATGTTTGAATGAGCAATCCACTAGCAGATGGATGGTCACAGTATTTAATGAAATGCTATCATACAGATAAAGGCAAAAAGAACATCCAAAAGAGGAGAGCCAGAGAGCACTCCAAACCTGGATCTTGTTATCCCACAAAGAAGTAAGGCCAAACCAAATCCTTGGGGAGGGAGGATGACTGAAGGAAAGGGATAGCCATCACACATCTTGTGCAGTAAGAATGGGAAAACTGGAAGCAAACAGAACATTGTCCTCCTTGTTTGATGGTAGTTCAAACATTTGACTGCTTGGATGTATTCTAGGTTTTTGTAGTTGATTCACACCAAGAATGAAACCTCTGATCACTCCATCCAATCACAATTCCTCGAAAGTTAACTTAACAGCCAACAGTTTCTGATTTAATAGTTCTGATTTCTTGTTATAGTTTCCATACCCTGTAGACAGATAGCAGGATTCACTTTACTGTCCTTGGGTACAGTGTTGAAAGAGGACTACTTGCAATGAACTGGACATCAGCATCTGGGAAAGTGAATCTGTAAATCTTAAGGTCACTGAATGCCCTCTGAGCAGAACTATGTCAGACACCCATGGGGGTGGGGACATCTGACTGTAATTCCGGAAAAACCTTGGTAAGAAGATGGCAAACCCAAGTATTTGCTGAATCCAAACACTTAGGCAGGATGAAAAACCCCAAGTGGCACCAACCAGACATGAAAGACACTTCTCTGCCTCCGGACAAGCCAATAAGGGAGGATTGTGGCGACTTATGTTTAGAGATGTGACAGAATTCACATATGGTGCTTGTAAGGTTTTCCCCTTTAAGAATGTTGGTTAGCAGCAGTGTGCTTTCCCCTTTAAGAGATCAAAGTTTTGGTCTAGTGGGTTGTTCGGAAAATAAAGTTAGCCAGTTCACGGCTTCAGCATCCAGCTCACATGTCGTCTCCCGCCTACGATTAAAGCTCTCCAAGAATTTCTGGGAATGGTTAATTTCTATCACAGATTTATTCCCAAAGCAGCTGAGCTTATGTGTCCCCTCTATAGAGCCCTTAAAAGCGGTACCCCTCGTCACATACTTAAGTGGTCCGATGCAATGATTGGAGCTTTTGACAGCACCAAACAGGTTCTAGCAGAGGCTGCCATGTTGGCGCATCCACTTCCGGACAGTCCAATCGCTATTACTGCAGATGCATCTGATTTCGCGGTTGGGGCTGTCCTGGAACGGTTGGTGCATGGGCATTGGCAGCCACTTGCATTCTTTAGCTAATGAACAAAAGTACAGTACGTTCGATCGGGAGTTGCTTGGCCTCTACCTCGCCATTCGACATTTTCGTTTTTCTCTCGAAGGCCGGCACTTCACTGCTTTTGTCGATCACAAGCCATTGACTTTTGCTATGTCAAAGGTTTCAGAGCCATGGTCTGCCCGCCAGCAACGGCACCTGGCTTACATTTCAGAATTT